GGAACAGGGGTAGCAGCCCTCAGCCACGACGGAGGTGGCGAGGGAGAGAGCGGCGATGAAAACGGCGGCGACCTTCATTTTGGCGAAGAGGTAGAGACTGGTTTTTGAGTTGAGAAAAGAGTGACTGTAGACTTTTTGATGTTGAGATGGCTGGAGAGTGATGTTGTATCGAGGAGTTGGAGAATCAATGGCCCTTAAATATTTCTCGGAAGGATCTGTTCGACGTGTATCGCTCAAACATTTGCTGAAATACTTGTGAGACGTAGATGAACTGCACTCATGATCTTCGACAATATTTCCCTGAAAAAGGGCTCAACCGGCGATTACCGAACATCCTATATCTGCTGTCCTAATTGAGGCTCCCAAGGCAGCTTCGTGAAGGGATTGATCTGCAACGTGGAACAGAGCGTCCATAAATGACATGGGATGAACGACCAGGAAGTTGGGCCCTAAGCTTCGTTGGCTGGCAGCGCCCCCAAGATTCTAGACTTCGAGACCAACAACATCATGCCTGGGATGCCCTGATTGAACTACGTTCAGAACGGGCAACTGACGAGTCAGTGGGTGGCCTGGTGGCTGTGAGTCAGCTGGCAAGTCTGTCCTCACGCTCAGGGGAACCTATACCTTCCACTCCGTTAGGAGTTCTGTCAATGTAGATCATGTGAAAACACGACTCGTTCTTCAGTGTCTTTCACGGAAACCATAGCCCACGTGCATGAATTAGAGCGACTCACATAGGGGTACGGAGCCTCAAGGCAGCATTTCCATGCTGACCCTAAAACAGTTTTCAACGTCGCAGCCATCTGCGCACTAGCTGGAAATGATTCTCAAACGGTCTCTTTGCGACTTGTCCTCCCTAATTTCGAAGAAAACTTCTGATGCGGTTCTCGTCGGCTTCTGCGTTGGTGTCAGGATGTGATAAAGCAAACCTTATGGTTGCTTAGGATTCAGAAGTCGCCTATTGGTGTGAAAACGATCAATGTGGGTACATTTCGCTGCTTTTCTGAAGACATCGGTTCAGTTGCAAACTTCCAGAACCATGTCTGAATAGACCACCCCCCGTTACCGAGAGAGTGGGCGGAGTAGAGGACGGGGAAGCATGAAATTAAGCACAAGCGGGGAAGGCCGGAAACAGGAGTTATTCACCCCATTCACAACTAGAAAGAGGACACCAGCAAGGTAGTCTGATCGTGTATATGATATCGATGAAGTAGGGGCTAACGATCTTCGTTGGGGCCCAGGGAATGATGCACGTCTCATCCAGACGGGCGTCGGAGTTGAAGGCCGACTTGAGAAGCACGAGGCGTTCTGGGGAGACCGAAACTTAGAATGATGAGTCGTGGGTACTTTGAATACGCGCCTTTAAATTCAACAAAGTGGTTGTGGAAAGGCCAGATATGCAAGAACCCACATGTTCATCCAGACTTGACTAAGGTAAAGCTTGCCTGCCCAAGACCCCCTGTCGTGGCGAAGGAAGTTAAGTTCAGGGATGTGCTCGGTAGTGTGTTTGATGCCACTACAACGGGTGAGATATCTTGATATGCATCATTTTGGCATTATCGCCAAGGCGAATACTGCTCAACGTAGCGACCTGTATTAAGTAACTTTGGTTCGATTCCAATTGAGCGCAACCGCTGCAAGATGTTGCTTAACTACCCTGAGACAGAAATGGGTTTCTATATGTCTCGCGAGTCGTCACTGGAACTTTCTCCGAGTCTCTCGAAAAATGAGGTGAATCAAGGCTGTACTCCATGTGTCGGTATCGGATTCAGTAAACGTATCCACGGATCCTGGTCAAAGGAAGTCGAGACTTATAAGTGCATCCTGATACACGTGTCGAGTAGATAAGCTGACGATAAACTGGGAGTATTGATAAATATTATGTCTTCTCTCAGATACTAACGTGAACTTCTAATTATTGTGCTTCACAGCCTGGTGGTTCCCTGTTGTTCACCCGCGATCCACGGGAACGTGCCCCCGAGAAAGTCATCGGTTACCAGCAAACCGGCGTCAGCATCGAACATACCGCCTTCCGAAAGCAACATTTTATTTACATCGCTGCCCGCAACTGGCCCTGAAAGCCCGGTCATCAGAGTAAAGTCTGCAAGTGCATCGACCCCTGGGATGTCCCCTTCCTCTCTCCGGCTAGCTTAAACAATGCTGTCTTTGATCTCACCCACGCACGGCCATGCGTTCTGGACAGCATTCATGGCTTCGAGAATGCGTGTCAATGCTTGAGAAGTTTGTGTCTCATCCCATGGCGTTCCTTCTAGGTAGTGTCTCATCATTATGGTTCCCGCCGCGGTAGCAAGAGTGTGAACGAAATCAATCGGTAGGCAGTCGTAACGATAAAAGCGATTATAGCTCCTAAGCAGACGTAGAATGGCTTTTAGCGACTCAAAGCATATTTCCACATCTTCACTGGATGCAACATCTGGCTGTGACAAAAGTTGGCGCGGCGGGCGATGGAGAATAATCATTGCAGTATGAAAACGCATGCTAAGACTTGTCAGACAAGAGATTTAAAGGGGCACGCATGACTCACTGTAGATGAAGGACACACGCTGGGACCTGCCCAACTGTCCACTGATTCCAGTAAAGCTTCCCGGGTAGGCTTGCCAGCCGCTTTGTCAACGAGACGTGAATCTTCTGAACTGTTGCAGCGGTGTTGGCATTGTGTGTCTTCGGCCGACGATTTTCGAAGAGTTCGGTAATGATACTATGTTGAATCTTTGACAGTTCAGCTTGATGTATCAAAGCCCCAACGAGAGCAATCCCATCTTCGAATGCCGTGACGGACAGGCCGGGCGCGATATATGTGTCGAGTAGTCCTTGTCAGTCAGGCGGGTATGGTATTCTAACGGTGTTCCGAACATCTGATTCGTACAAATACAGAGCTGGCGGGCGTCCAAAGTAGAGACTCAGTTGCTTGTCAACAATGAAGGCGGCCCAGTAGGCACGGCGCAAAATCTCTCGATCGACATCTGGCTCAGAGGTTCCGTTCCAGTTGTTCGGGTCCAACTGTAGACCCATCTCGTGGGCTAAGCGAAATGCCATACCCCAGAACAGCCAGCCTTTCGAAGCGCGGCCACGTCCAATCTCGCATTGACCGAGCAGAAGTAGAGCCTGCAAGCTAGTGAGGTTAGGTCGGTCGAGAGCTGAGTACAGCAGCTGTTGCGCTTGGGAAGAAAACACACCATAAAGTTGTAGATCGTCAGGGTCACCAGTTGCAAGGGAGCCCATGGCGCATATTGCGAAAAGAAGAAAATCGGAATAGTAGTGACCAGTTCCAACATCGTAGTCGCGAAGAAAGTACTCTCGATAGATGTACATGTTCTAAGGGTATTGCTCCCTGAAGAAGGAGGCCATCAAACGCTGCGATACGTCATCATGAGGTGCGTACTGGAAACAGCTGTTACGGGGGCTTGTGATTTCGGAGGGCTGGTCAGCGTTAGCGCTGGCGAGCATGTCGTCAGCAACTGTCGTTGTCATGGACCAGTCGGTGCATGGCGATGTATGATTCTCTTTGTCGCATATGTATGTGTTGAATAGACTGGTCCCTCCGTAAAAATGAGCTGAATTGCCCCTGGCAAGTTTTCTTAGCTGACCAGCTCTTGGGCGAGCTAGTCCGGTTTCATCGTCTTCTTGAGGTGACTTGGGGTTTTCTTGACTTATGCTTGCGTTGGGGTCACTTGGGATGATCTCCGATTCATTCTGGGATGCAGTTGGTTATCCTGTTGCAACATAGCAAAGCAGCATTCGCTCCCGGTGCTCTGAGTCTGCCGCTGCTAACTCTCGGATGAAGACTTCGAGGGATGCGACTTGCCCTTCCAGTGCGCGGACATATGTCTTAGGCACAAGCCTTCGAGAATAATCATGTTAGATTCTGCAAGGAACAGAAGACACGACCTAGACATTGAGACAACCGTGGTCTTGGTAAAGAAACTACTCACCTTTGCTTCTCCCCGGTGCCCGCCCTCATACATTCTGTCCCGGCCTTTCGACATCGTGCGCATGGCTTTCGACGGTCGCATTTGATCTAAATTCGAAACTCGCAGTGTTAGACACATTTCAAGCTGAGACTGGTATTAGCGGGCAGTGCCATTGTACCTTTCGTCGGCGACACCGCTCGCATCTAATATTCCACGATATCAGACCAAATGTCAACGAGTCATGGTACCAAGTCAATCTACCTACGAAGTAGTCACAACCTCTCCTATCGGGGTCTTTGAATCGGCCTCCGGGCTTTCATTCATCGCGAGAAACTGTAGGTCCGGAAGGAGACGCCGTGTAAAACCCAAAGATTCCAGCCGTTATTCTATCACAGACAGTATTTTGCTGCGTCCCGAACGAACACATCAGTGCCATGTTCGATAGAGGAGGGGCTTGAATGATAAGATAAGCGCTATTTTGGCCTTCTCGTTCGTCACTGCCACGCTCTCCGCGGAGCGGGGAGGGTGCATTATCCGGGGAACATGACCCATTCCCAGGATGTTCCCCAGTTCTGGAGACCCACAGACAGGGGCGGATGTCCGCTGCCGCCACCAGATAGGGGTGCATTGAGTCCCGAGCAGGATGTAGGTTGTGTTATTGGTGCGAACCCCCTAGCATTAGATAACATGAATAGCCGAGTGGTGAGAGTGTATGCGATTTGGGGCTGCAACTTGCTATCGAACTGTTACCGTTGAGGCCCTCTGATGCCGACTGAGCCTAGTAAACATAACGAAATTCCAACTGCCCTTCTCCTGTAGTCTCCTTTCTGTCATCACTCAATTCTCCCATCTCGATCCGTTCCTTTTTCTGATTCAACAATCGCAGATACCATATCTGACCAGCTATGAGGACAATACAAACAAACAATGGCAGAAGCAAGTGAGCACCAATGTCCCAAGCGGTAGGGCGCTGAACGATATACTTGAGGAGCAACTATGCCGGCAATATTTCCGATAGTCTGCTGCAACCCAATCGCTGTGGCTCGCCGGTAATGAGGAGCCATGTTATTACTGATCCCTAACCACAAGCGTCAGCTCATCTGCATTACCAGTTGTCCTCTTCTCCCATAGTGAAAGAGGGAACCACACTCACAAATTTCGTTGAGACCGGGTCCGCAGTAAAGCGGGATAGCGATGAGGTAGCACGCAAAGTATCGGATGCCAGGACCATTTGCAACACCAAGAAGGATCGCATACCCAACGACCGCAAACACGTCAAGGCCCAGAAGGAACTTTGTCGACTGAGATCAGCAATCCAAACATCAAGTTGAAGGGTTTCTGAAGTTCTCACCGTTCCTCGAAGCCTCCACTTGTCTCCAAGAATAGCAGCTGTCTACGCAGCCATTAGTCACATAGGCGTCTCTTATAACACGGGGAACTAGGACGACTTACAAAAACGCTGAGACCTCCCACGAAATACACTGGGATGCTGAGATATTGTGCCTCAAGTGCGGTGAACCCCAGATCAAGTCGCAGGATAGAAGGCAGGAAAGTACTGAACCCATACAGGATAATGTCCTGGAAGAACTGGATCAAAGCGCTCAAGAAAAATAAGAGCGTCAGCAATTTGATATACGTACAGGGGCTGAATACTTACGTGGAATAGACTTTAGGGTCTTTGAAGGCGTTGAAGACCTCCTTCCATTCAAATACTTGACTTCCCAGATACTCTTGCCGTTGCGCTTCTCAAGCAAGCATCACTTCTCTCTCTTCTGGTTTCCAAAACTTCGCTCGGGTTGGATCATTCGGCAATCCGAACCACACCCACGTAACAGCAAGTAGGGATATCAGCCCCTCGATAATGTAGAGCCAGCTGAAGTTCGACCTATCAGATACGAAAGGGATGAGGAGATGTTCATGAAACATACCTCCAAGCTCTAAGCCCTGCGCTGTGCCCAATCTCGGTAATCGCCGTTGCAATCAACCCCCCGAAAATGCCAGCGAGTGAGACCGAAGTGAAGAGGAATGCCAATCGCAAACCCTGTGTCCCGAAGTTGTTAGCACTCTCTCAATACGTTTAGTTTGAGGCTTCCACGTACCTGCTCTTCCCGTTTATAAACCATCGTGATGTACAAAGAAAGGCAAGGAAAGAAGCCTGCTTCACACAAGCCCAGAAGAAGACGAACAGCCACCAAGTCACCGAACCGTTTGGTGAATGCTGTACCAATTGTGACGACTGACCAGCCAAAGCACATTATAGAAATAGCTCGATGTGGCTTAAGCTTCCTCATCGCAAGGACGACCGGAAGCTCGAATGCAATATACGTTGCAAAGAAGACGCTGACGGCGGTGCTGAACTGAGAACCAGACAGACCAAGGTCTTCGGTCAGGCCGGCTACAGCCGCATTTCCGATATTGCTTCGATCGAGGTACGCTACGAAGTAAAGGGTCGCGAAAAGTGGTGCAAGTCGCAAGTCCAGCTTTCGGAGGACTTGCTTTTCGAGCTGACTGTCGGGAATGACAGTCGAACTTGACAAGGCATTGCCTGCTTCTTCCGGATTGGGCTTGTCCTGCGCCATCATGTTGAGTTTGGGATCCATTGTAGACTGCGTCTTGTCATTGAAAAAAAAAAAAAAAAAAAAAAAAAAAAAAAGGTCGCAAACTTATGAACTCTAGAAGACTTTGACTATGTCATTGACTTCTGCTGCGCCTTCACTGGCTCCTCTTGTAATGAAGGACAAATATGGCTTATCAGTTCGCTGGGATTGTATCGCCAAGCCCCTGAAAGTGCGATACGAACTCCCGAGGTCGTCTTATCTGTGGTGCGTTAGCGCACAACCATGTATGTAGGTGGGGTTGAAGGAGACGGAGGCGGATGCCCGTCAGTCAGACATGCAGCCAGACTCTTATCATCAGTTCGACGTCATTGAAATCATGCGGAGGCACTTACACCATCAATCTTATTCTCATAATGTTTCCCTGCAGCAGTTGCATGACGGAAATGGATGTCCGTGGGTGTCAATCTCGCGACCGTGTGTCCATTAATTAGAAAAGGACATCCGTCCAATGTCTGATGCAGTATCGGAAGCGATTGTCGACCAGTCACATATCTCTGACTATTGATCATTCTTTGTTCACCATGACTTCAACCATCAAATCTGTTGGCTACATTGGCCTAGGGCTCGCCGGCGGACCGCTAGCTCAGAATGTTGCCCAGAAGGGCTTCAAGACAATTGTTCGTGACGCGGACAAGAAGCGGCAACGAAAGTTTGTTATTGAAAACAAGGAACTTCCGGTTGAAGAGGCTGCCGCTGGGCCGGACGCATTCAAGGACGTTGCTGTGTTGATTACCATGGTGCCAAACGGTCACATCGTCCGAGACATCCTCCTCGGAGAGCAAGGCATTGCTCCTTACATGAAGCCTGATAGGATATTAAACAGTCTTTATGTTAATTGATTTGCTGATTAAGACGTTTTAGGCTGTGTCATTGTTGACACATCTTCTTCTGACCCTTTTGGCACCCAGCAACTGGGCAAGGACCTCGAGAAGTACTAGCTCCGCCTAGTGGACTCTCCAGTCACCCAAGTCAGAATGCACGGGATCAACGATGGCGAGGCTACCTTTATGATTGGCGGGGCCCAGGAAGACATTGACTTCGCAATGCCCGTCTTGAAGACCATGTCTTGATGGCGTTTTGTTATGGGTCCTTTGGGTAGCGGCCATGCCATGAAAACTTTCAACAACTACGTCACCGCTACTGGTATCGCAGCTCTCAACGACGCTTTTATCGTCGGTCGCAAGATGGACTTGGATCCTGTACAGATCACGGACGTTCTCAATGTTGGCACCGGCCGCAACTACGGCACAGCTCACTCCATCAGGGCCGAGGGGCTAACAAGAACGTATGCCAGCGGATATGGGTTGGCACTACTTGTGAAGGACCTGGGCATCAACCTCGAACTGTGTGGGAAAATGGGCATTGACACGCAGCTCGCGAAACACATGCATGGGCTTTTCAAGGAGGCTCTAGAGGAGCCCAATATGGAGCAAAGTGCGGATTACACTGAGTGTCTGAAGTTATGGGAGAGGAAGGCCGGTTTTGAATTGCCTACCGCGGTCGGGCTGAAGGAGTGTGCCGAGCCTCGCGATTTTGAGACGCCTTGATAGGGTAGATGCATAAATGCGTGTACTTTGACAACCGATCTAGTTCTCATCCAATGACGCGTTTCCAAGTCTATTGTTCTTGGAGTTCTGCAGCTCGTTTCCGATCTTTCTTGATGACGAGAAACCAACTTTTCAGAATTGAGCAGATGCCAACCACCAAAATCGAAAGGTTGACGCCATATGAAATGCGGTATCTGGGACCAAACACCGTGCTGAAGACATGCGGGCCTACGATTCCCCTATGGAACAAAGTCAGCGTAGTCCAGTTGAACGTTGACAATACGGCTCGAACATACCCGAACTGTGCACACGCATTCGTAAGGCCAATGCCAATTCCTGATGCCACTGTTCCCTCCAGCGCCCTGATTCGTTCAGGCCAGATAACTGGGTACGCACAACCAGCGCAGGCCACAGATACGACCAAGCAGAGGTAGCGGACAACCGGGTTATCAACGAGAAGAAGAATGATGTAACACACGATGATTGTTGATTCAACTAGGACAGTCAGTTTTCTGGTGTCTTGTGAGATGTCTTCAAAACTTACTCCCCACGGCAGTGACCCAAGGTCTGATCCACTTCCTCTGCAGCATGAAACCCAAAGCATTGAGCAGTAAAAATGCCGAGACGTATGGCGGCTGAAGAGGATTAGTGGGGTCCATGGCACGTTGGTCTCGTTGGGGTGGAAACTTACTATGTTCATCAACTGAGAGTATGCTGTAATGGTGAATCCTAACTTGTAGATCACCGTAGGCAATGCAAATCCCACCCCAAATCCTCCAATACCATGGCAATTCCAATAAAGACTGAAGGTATAGAGGGTTGGGTCTTTGGCCATGACTTTCAGAGATTTGAAGTCCCAATGTGACCCACCCTTGGGCGCAGTGCTCGCAAGCCTCTCTTTCACATAGAGCCTTTCCTCCTCGGTGAGGATCTTCGCTGACTCAGGGTAGTCGGGCAGACCAAAAGCAAAGAATGCCAGGATTATAGCAGGCAAACCTTCAAGGATAAACAGCCATCGCCATCCAGAGACCCCTCCGAGTTGGTCCATGTATGAGATTGCGTACGCCAACAGACCAGAGAGTGCACTGGACACCTGTCCCACAGAGTAAAAGAAAGCTATGCGCAAAGCCATCTCCTCAGGTCTGTACCAGAAAGCATAGTGAAACAGAACAGACGGGAAGAACCCAGCCTCTGCCGCACCAATTGCGAATCGCACGCACATCATGCCTGAAAAGTTTGTTGCTGCTGCGGAGCAACACGCCGATATACCCCATGCCATGATCAGGATGAACATCCATCTTGACGGCTTGAACAGCTTTAGAAGTACCGTGTTGGTCGGCTCGAAAATAAGGTAGCTGTAAGAGAAGATAGAAAGCGTCCATGCCCACTGCGAAGGCGTGAACCCGAGCTGCTTCTTGATGCCTGTACCGGCTTCTAGGTTGATGATGGCGGCGTTGTTATAGTTTGCGCTGTCAATAACCCGAAAGACGTAGACAAGAGAGTAAAAGCCAACAAGCCAGAGGTCAATCTTTCGCATTATGCATTTTTCAAGAGCCGCATCCTTTGGGGTGGCTTCAATATCAGGGTTCGATGTTGCTTCGGTTATTGATCCAGCTCCCTTCTCAGAAAATAGCTGCGTTTCGTTGGCAACCTGCGCAATGGTGCCGATTGGGTCCTTAGCGACCGCCATCTTGATGGAAGAGGATTGGTGTACCAGTGGCTGGGAGTAAATGGGAGTAAGTGAACGCAGTCCTATATGTCTTAAATATGAACAGATTTTATTCCGCAGAAGAATAATCCTCCGGTAGGCAGTAGTAAGAAACATGTAAAGCATTATCCGAAAGGGAAGTTGGTTCTACCAACCCGCCGGTAGTTACCAATCGCGCTGTCATTCCTTTAGAGATCTCCAGTCTATCACGACATGATAACCGGAATGGCGAAGGAGGTCCCCCATCCAATACCAACTGCCAGCGACACTATGAGCTGCAGCTCCCTCCCGTTTCAGCCCGGGATGCGGTAACGACATCTTGGACGCCATACTCAACACCACATTTCGGTATCATTCATGCAGGCTTTCGGACAATAAATGCGGAGAAATATCGTTTGAAGGATTCGATATGAGCTTGTGGTGATACGCTGTTTTTATTCCCGATGAGCACGTTGTTGGGGTTCCCAAGCACGCAATGGCCGATCGTGTGACTACCCCGCCTGGATAACCTCAAGCATGAGGAGTCGTACCGAAGTAAGATCCGTTTATAAATGAGGCTCAAGAAATTTTGGTGACCATCCTTCTTGGATTTCAATCAAATTCCAGCTCCTAATCACTATCATGGCCCCTTCCGCAGTTTCACCGCCGCCATCTACAACTGGCACATTGCTTGTCAAGCCCTGGTCACGCCCCCAGGAGACTAAAGAGGATCTAGACTGGGCTCCTCTTACTACCATTGATCTTTCGCGGTTCGACGAGCCGGGGGGCAAGCAAGATCTCGCGAAACAACTTTATGATGCTATCACGCGAGTGGGATTCTGGGTGGTTACCGGCACTGGTATCGATGATGAACTTGTCCTACGGCAGTTCAGTATCGGAAATACACTTTTCAAGGAACCACTTGATGAGAAGAGAAGATTCCCTTGCAACTTTGCAGAAGGCGAGTATTTCGGGTACAGGGAGAACGAGAGATGGATTGGTGACACAGGCGTCAAAGAAAACATTGAGATGGTATGAGACAGTGCTTCTTCTCTGGGAACCTCTATTTGACGACAAGATTTCTGATAAGAGCACAGCTGAATATCCACAAAGACATCCCTGCCTGGAGACAGGTTGGTCGCCACCGTATTGTGGAAGACAACTGGGACGAGATCCGCAACTTCCATCGCGACGTCTGGGAAGTTGCCCGGAAGCTCTTCGTTCTGATCGCAATTATACTAGAACTACCAGAGAACTACCTTGCAGATGCACATGCTTATGATCAAGTCTCGGATGATCACTTGCGGTACATGATCTACAATGTTCGGACAGACGAGGAGTGGGACAAGGCGCAAGCATACTCAAAGGGAGGACACAAGGACTTTGGCAGTTTGACCCTTCTTTTCTCTCAGCATGTTGCTGGGCTGCAAATCCGAACTCCTGAGGGGGGTTGGAAATATGTGAAGCCCGTCGAAGGGGGTATTACCTGTAACGCTGCGGACACCCTGACGTTCCTCACGAATGGTAAGTTGACCTTTTCCCTATGCAATTTTCCATGCTTTTCTGACTTGAAGGCAGGGTTCATCAAGTCAACGATTCATCGTGTGGTCAAGCCTCCCAGAGACCAAATCGACATCCCTCGACTAGGACTGCTATACTTTAGTCGTCCGGGAGACCACACACCCATGAGAACAGTGCCTTCCCCGCTTCTTGACCGTCTCGGATTGATCAGAGAAGAAGATAAGGATTTGAGCAAACCGATGCCATCGGGAACGGAGTATGTGCGGGCACGAGTGAAAGATGTGCATCACAAAAAGGTGCTGGATAAGCGGGAAGGAACGTCATTCCAGTTCAAGTGGCTGCAGGTGCAGAATCACTATGAATGAGAACATGCCGTATTTTCTTTTAGAGAAGTTTCTCAATATGAATTGAACAAATATTTTGAAACGGCTTGATTGAAATAAAACCAAGATTCTTTCGCTGTGTGGGCCTCCATCAGGCTTGGGGCTGGCCCAGAAGCGGAGGTTGAAGTCCGCGCCGTCCCTTGGGCTGCTGGTCTGCCAATCTTATCCACAGCTTGGTCGAGCGGGAATGAAAGTCCGTAGAGCTCTAGCCGCTGGAGATTTACTGACCCAGGGGTTGAAGTGGGAAATCATTCAACGTATATGATGTTGAACAGTCACTGCAGTGGGACTTTTCATAAAACAAAGCATAAGGCGACATGATTCAAAGTCCTGACGGAATTCTTTTTCCAATGAGTGTACTAGACTTCGAGAAATTGTCACGATAATGTCCGTTCAACATCTGACACGCATTAGCTTGCCGGATGGTACGGCATATGATCAACCGACTGGTATTTTTATTGACAACGGATTCCATGCCTCCAAGGACGGTAGTACCCTCGAATCGATCAATCCATACACCCAGCAAACAATTTGCTCGTTTTCTCGAGGAAGTAGCGACGATATTAATATTGCAGTTGCTTCCTCAAAGCAAGCATAGCGGGGTTGGAGGAAAACAACACCTGATGAAAGGGGAAGACTTCTGAACCGCCTCGCTGACCTCATTGAAAGAGATGCAGACCAATTGGCAAACATTGAGGTGCGTATCTATCAGGCCTTGGAACAACTCGCCAAACACTAAATTTCCGTTGCAGTCAATCAATGCTGGAAAACCTGTCAAGCTGGCCAAAGTTGCCGATGTTCTCGCGTGTGCGGCCTGTTTCCGATACTATGCGGGATGGTCAGTTTTGGTCTGTCCTGAGCTTTGCTTCTGCTTACTCACCGTATCTTCAAATATGTAGGGCAAACAAGATTAAGGGTAACAGCATTGAGACTGACCCAAACATGCTGAACCTCACCCTGAAAGAGCCTCTGGGGGTCTGCGGTCTTATTATTCCCGTAAGCTGATTACTTCTCTTGACCCGCTAGCACACGGGAGCTTTATAATCTCGATGGACTTGTCTAATGACCTTTCAGTGGAACTTCCCAATCCTGATGTGTGGTTGGAAACTCGGGCCTGCCTTGGCTGCTGGAAATGTTGCTGTCCTGAAGCCTACAGAACTCACTCCGCTCTCGGCGTTGTATTTAGGGAAGCTGATTGTCGGGGCCGGATTCCCCCCAGGTGTTGTCAACATCGTACCAGGTCTTGAAAACGAAGCCGGAGCTGCGTTATCACGCCTGAATCTTGATGTACAGGTGCTCACGAATTGAGTGTGGTGCCGCCGCGGCCAACTCACCGATTCGCCGAGTCTTAGACAGAATCGGGAGCTTGGCCCGCAAAACACTTACCGGAGAACCCTCTTCTTGGCAATGAGTCGCGTGGATAAGCTTCGTGTAGGTGGGCGTTGCCCCGGGAGGAGCTCCTCTTCCCCGCGCCCGTCGCACAGAGGAGCTCCACGTCCACAGTCCACTCGGTGCCGGGCGGAGTCACTCTCCCTTTTCCACATTGCTGCAGCACGTACAATCCACCGACCCGTGACGAAAGAGCTGAGTTGCAAGGATATTGGGAACCGCCACTGGCTCCACGTCCGTTTGAGCCAGGCGGAGGACTTGAGAGCCATTGTGGACGTTTCGCGGAGCATCGCACCACATCCTGCATCTTGTTCGCAGACCCGATTTCTTGTGACCCAGTGTGTCAAAACATCATTTTCATACTCTAAGCGTGGTATCCTTTCAGTCGTATATCAATCAAGACTTCATCGACTCAGTGAAGTCTGAAGAACCACTCACTCACCAAGCACATCATCAATCAAGTCGAGCATCCAAGGATCAAGAAGACTTTCGAACTACAGATACCAATTTCAAGATCCTTTCAAGATTCACACATATCTTCGCTTGCCCAATATGGTCGCCGACATCAACCAGCTTCCACCTTACACACCGCCTCCCCCTACCAAGGAGGACTGTGAGTACCCCAGACTGCACAGAACCAACTGCATTTGCATTTGCACTTGCAAGGATAAGGCTGACCACCGACCGCTCTGCAGTGGACTACGTCGACCTTGTCAACATTGATCTCGCCAAATTCGACGACCCCGAGGGCCGCAAGCAGCTTGCTAAGGACCTTTACGAGGCCGCCACCGGCTACGGCTTCTTGACGCTCACCAACCATGGCATTTCTGACGAGACCTACCAACGCCAGATGCGCATCGCCAACGCGGCAATGACGCTGAAGCCCGATGAGAAGGCTCCTTATGAAGGTGAGCATCGAGGAAGCATTCTTCTTGGCTTGGAGCAATACTGACAGATGACAAGTTACTCCTGAAGAGGACGCCCGTGGTCTGTACGCAGGATACAAGCCCGCCGGCCCTCTGGGCCACAAGGGCGGCTTCCCCAAGGCGCTTGATCACTACAACATGCTGGTCCACGACCCTAAGAACCGCGACCACCCCGAGATCATCCGCCCATTCATGGAGGAGACATACGAGGTTATGAGCTACATCAGAACCAACATCCTGGTGAAGCTTTTGAGGATTGTTGCCGACATTCTCCAAGTCCCCGAGGAGGCTGTGCTTTCAACCCATGCCCCCGGAGGATCTAAGACTGAGTATCTCCGCTACGTGAGTGTTGTCGTCGGTACTTACAGGAACCTGACTGACCCAAGCTAGATGATGTGCGAGCCTCGTACCAAGGAGGAGAGCGAGAAGTACCGCCAAATCTTCCTGGCTGGCCACACTGACTGTGAGTTATCAACCGTGTTGACCAAGGACATGGCGTCGCTAACATTAAAACGCAGGGGGCACCTGGACCTTCCTCTTCTCCCAGCCTGTCGCCGCTCTTCAGGTTCTCTGCCATCACACTGGCCGCTACAGATATGTCAAGCGTAAGTCACCACACGAAAGCACCCAAAAACCGTCATCTGACAGTCGCCATAGACCAACCCCATGGCATCGTCGTCAACTTCGGCGAGGCCCTCGAGCGCCTTACCGGCGGTCTCTTTAAGGCAACTATCCACCGCGTCACGACCCCGCCCGAGGATCAGCGCCACCTCCGCCGTATCGGTGTCATCTACTTCTCCCGCCCTGCCGACGAGCGTGAGCTCGTTCCCATCGAGAACTCTCCTCTTCTTCAGAAGATGGGAACCGATAAGCCCATGGACGACCGTGTCTTCTGTATGGCTGACTACCTCGATGCCCGTAAGCACGGCTGGAAGCGATATGACTTTGACATGGACCGTCCTCGCGAGGAGGGCAAGCACCAGGACCCCTTTGACGTAAGTCTCAAACCAGCCAAATCTCTACCTACAAGTCTGACAAGTAATTTAGGGCGAGTACCCCGATCCCGAGGGCCACAAGAGTCTCGGAAAGTTCGACAACGTGCCCCGTCTTCAGTACAGCCTTCCGACTGTCAAGTCAACTTAGGATGTAGCATGTGTATGACTTTGTCTTTGGATGGGACTTGGCGTCTTTTGTAGCATTAAAACTTTTTCATCTGAAACAACGCGTTCACTTTGACGGTGAACGCTGTGAAATAAAGCATCTTCACAACATTTCGGTCCTCAATTGGAGCCTGCATCACTGCCACTCTGGTCATGGGGGATGTTATCGCTGAAAACATCAGACTTTGGCGACGTGCTACTTCTAAAAGCAAACCTTAATACGTGCCCTCGCAGTCTCTTCAACAGCCAGTAAAAAAAGGAAGTGTGCTCTCGCAGGCTCCCGTCGCTCGTACTGCACTGTGCATGTCATCCAGTTGCTGGAGTTACGAGCCCGACTCAAACACTCTCGAAAGATTGAGATAAGTTCGTTGTCTTTGGTACAAATAATAAGAGTCCCACATTGCTCATATTTTGATATGAGCGGCGGAGGAGATCTTAGGGCATCGTAGAAAGCGTTGTCATTATTCACTCATCGGCGCTGCGTACGCCTCCCTCGCTTTTGCTAGACTCTCATGCATGACCGCCGCGACCCAGCTTCCAACTGGCCATGTCGTTCGCTTCGTAAAGTTCGCCACAATCCATTCCAAAAAGCGCACTTCGCTCCTCGCAAGATCAACAGGTCTGTCCAGCATAGCCAGTGCAGCCGCAGCATTCTCTGCATCATCATCTCCGCCAGTTCCAACGCAAGCCATTATGGCGTCCAGCACAAAGCGACTTGGGTTCGACCTTCCATTATTGCTGTTACCCAGCATCATGCCTCCGCTATTGTCGTTACTACGTTGTGCGGCTGGCATTGTCAGACGGACTAGACGCCAGCCTACGAGACAGATCTTGAAGCCGAGGAGTGTTATGAAGGGGTTCTCGAGGGCAGGAGGAGCAGTAGACTTGATCGGATTCAGAAGGTCGAGGGCCATTTCGAGATCATTGAGCTAAGGTAGCCAGTTGTTAACAACACTTGAATGAAGAAGTACTTCTTGGGATACATACTATTCTGAAAACGTCGCGATCTTCGTAGATGTCCCGCTTGTCTTTACTCCTGGGTGTTGCCAAGTGACCAGCCGCTAGAACACAGTTAGCGATAATTCCGTCTACCCTTATTCAAAAGTGGAGGATACTTACTAGCTATCGCCAGGGGCAAATTAGACTCTACCACTCCACTAACCAGTAGAGAGTCTGGATGCGATAGAGTGATAGACGTGTAATACCACAATATCCAGAAGGTGTGCCACAGAGGCGTCTGGTCATCATGACTATCCGACAGGACATCCATACGGCCAAAGTCGAAAAAGCTGAAGACTGGTTTCTGACTCCGCGGTACCAACTCTGCAATGCTTTTGAGTGCTTGGGAGATTTGCGCATGTTGCTTATCGGTCAGTATAGACAGAGCGCGCCGTTGAGCTTTTGGACGCTCTAGCAGACAACTGGCATGGGTAAGTTCGCGAGCCATCATCTGTAGTTGCGTCACCAAGATCACGGCAGCGAATGGAGATGCCCATAGCAATCTCAGCTTCTTTGGTTTGTGTTTCTCTCCGGGGCCCCTCTGGCTGTCGTCGTTTCGATTGGCGTGGAGGAGGGTCTGAGATGCTTCGTAGAAGAAGCCCTGACTTGGCGGCGTCTCATGCGCGTAGGCTTGATCGTCGGGTTCGTCAAAAGACTTGAAGCGCTGTCGCCGCTTCTCGAACCAATCTCTGTCTGAGCGCGCTAACCATATGTCTTCGCAGCATGGAAGGTCGTACTTGATCTCGAGAGATGATAGCATCGGTCGAAGATTGCAGAGAATAGCGAGCTGAGAGTCTAGGAGATAAAGCATGTACACACAACGCTTTCTTGACTCCTTTCGTATGAAGTCTTGCCACTGCTCATTGAGAGCTTCCGCACTCACAGGCTCCTGCATGTCGTCTTCGTCACCTTCTTCACCGTAGCCGCTGTCTTCCCCCGAGGCCATGGAGAGAGACTCGATCGAGCTGTCTTGCGACATCTGGAGTAGACGAATGGCATCGATCAGGTCACGATGTATTCGTTGCGCTTTGAGGAAGCTCGTGTCGTTGCCGCCGTAAATGCCGAGGAACTCGAGGAGGAGGAAAGTCTGCAAAACCCATGTTTCTTGATATCTCGATCGATTTTGCTCCACCTGCGAGGATGAGCTAATGTACCACTGTCATGACTTGAGAAAGAATACTGACATATTGCTGAAGCGAGGACAACGTTGACTCAAATACTGCCTTCCGGGTCGCTTCGTCCACAGTCGATTCGCAGTAAAGACTGCCTATACATGTGATGACATTCAGGAGCGGTACCTGGGTCGACACAATGTGAAAAGAGGCCTCGTGGAGTATCGGAAAGTTGCGGTGGAAGCCTTCGAAGAAGCTCTCGACGCACCGGATTTCACTGGAAATTCTAGAGTAAAAGCAGTCTTGTCAGCAAGGACTCCATTGACAAGACTATCCGAAAGAACATACGCCGGTGATGTCTGTTCATAGCTCTGACTGATTTGCTGCATCGGCTCAAGCATATCGCCTTGAGGTTGCGGGGGGTGCGTTAGCAGCACATCGAGCCATGCTGCTGTGCTTGGGGAATCTCCGACCGTCGGTGTCAGGGAAGGCGGGGGAGCTGTTTTCGACGGCGACGCGGAGGTCGAGATATGGCAATTTTCAACATGGCGTTTCCTCAAGTCGCTATGACAAAGTCAGCATCTTAATTGGAACCCTTGAACTGAAGTATCCTCATCGCATATGTGTAAGGCGTTTACGTACCTACGCGCGAACTTGGCATTGCATTGAGAGCATGGAAACACGGGTGCATTCCGTCCCTTGTGGTCTGACAGATTGTTAAC